GTTTTAAAACTAAAACCTGGAAATGATCTCTTTAACAGTGGAAGATTGGTTAAATCATGGTACATTTAGCCATTAAAAATATGTTATAGAAGGCATATAAAAGGTGCTCAACATCACTAATTATTAGGTAATGCAAATTAAAACCACAATGAGATATCACCTCACACCTGTTAGAATGGCTATCATAAAAAAGACAAGAAATAACAAGTGTTTGAGAAGACGTAGAAAAAAGGGAACCATAATATACTGTGGGTGAGAGTGTAAATTGGTATAGCCAGTATAGAAAACAGTATGGAGAATTCTCAAAAAATTAAGAACTAATATATAATCTAGTAATTCCACTTCTAGGTATTTACCTGAAGAATATGAAAACACTAATTTGAAAAAATATATGCACCTCTGTGTTCATTGCAACATTATTATAATAACCAAGATGTTGACTGTCAGCCTATTTTCTCTCTGGACAGTCTGTAATTAAAAGCTGCCACATTAACATCTATGTTATGTGACATCAGGGTCTCTCAACTTCAGCTCTATGGACATTTTGGACTGGATACTTCTTTGTGGAGAGCTATCCTTTGCATTGGAGGATGTTTTGCAGCATCCTGGTTCTCTATCCATTAGACACCAGTAGCATCCTCCCCCAACCATCTCCTGTTATAACAACCAGAATTGTCTTCAGAAATCTGCCAAATATCCCTGAAAGGCAAAATTAACCCAGTTTGAGAACCACAGCATGTGTGAAAATTGAAATGTATGGTGTCTAGGAGATTAGCAGTAAAAAATGTTCTGTTTTACTAATTTTGTTGGCTGAAACCTCAAGGAGGTTGTAATTTGTGATCTAATAAAAGCTACTTTTGTGGTTTACTGACCTGCAAGTTTAATGAACCAATGTGTGACTCAGTGGTTAATGATTATCTGCATTGTTGAAACATATCCAGAAACAACCAAGACAAGTTCAACTCCATGAGAAAAGCAAAGGTCGTGAATGAAAGATTGCTTTTCAGCTTTGACAGTGATTGGATTTGCCTCGCCAGCCTGTCAGCTGACCTATTTCACTATTCATTATCATCCATGACACAGGCAAATATTGTGTGGAAGTTGAATACGGAAAATTTGTTCCTAGAAAGTTGACAATGGGATATAAATATAAACAGTTCATTTTATTAGTAATAAACACATAGAGACAGTTGCAAAAGATAAGTAAAAAGAGCATTTAAATATTGCATGTTATTTAGATTTTCTCCTCATAATGGAAACATTATTAGAGAACCAGAGACATGAGATAAGGGAAAATGAGGTCATTTTGCCCATTCTCTTCAAGAACTACACTGTTCTATGTGTCTCCCCCTCTGCTCCCCCATCCAGAGTCTTATTAAAAATCCTCATTTTAATAATATAAGATACTCCCCATTTTCCCCCTCTGCAGAATAATTCAATAGATGGGCAGAGTGCATAAGTTAGTGGCACTATAATCTTCAGATTACTTCTTTAGTTAGTGACACCATGTTGGTTGCATGGAAAATAAAATTTCTATCAAAGTCTACATCAGACATCAGTGATCCAAATTACCAAGTACAATACAAATCATGTCTTAGCCCAGCCGGTGTGGCTCAGTGGACTGAGTATTGTCCCATGGACTGAGAGGTCCTGGTTGAATTCCCAGTCAGGGCACATGTCCAGGTTGCAGGCTCAATCCCCAGTAGAGAGTGTGCAGGAGACAGCCAATCGATGTTTCTCTATCACATTGATTTTTTTTATCTCTCTCTTCCTTCCTCTCTCTCTTGAAAAAAAATCAATAAAAACATATTTAAAAAACAACAAAAACAAATCATGCCTCAAATGGCATTACAAAATTATCCAACTTAATAGAGTGCACTTGTGGGATCTTGAGTCTTAGTGGTTGTTTCTTGCATTGTTGGGTACTCCTAATTCCAGGAAAGACTGTATAAGATATTTACAAATCTCCTTATCTATCTTGGAATTAGTGCTTAAATTTTGTTTTTCATGATAACATCCAGAATTTTCTTTAATGATAAATAATAAAAATAATTGCTATTAATGAGTACTATCTGTGGACCAGGTATTACTTAGGTACTAAACATATAATATTTTATGCAATCTTTGTAATCTTACCAGATATACAGGTATACTGGATCTACAGTTTTCTATTTACCCATTAGAAAACTGAGGCTCAAAGAGATTAAGTACTTTGTCCAAAGTTTCACAGCTTCTGAAAAGCAGACTCTTGATTCAACACACAGTTCATATCTGACATCTCAGCTCATGTTGTTTATGTCAAGTTTTCTCTTAGAGTTTGTATCAGGAAAAATGCACTTGCTTGAATTCTTTGAAACAGAGCACGTCTGCAGTAGCTGGAGGGCTGCATTTAAGGAAAAAACAAGGTGTTGACGCAATGTGATTTCTGCCCAGTGCTCTGAATGTCAAAGTGAAGAAATTCAATGAAGCGCGGGTAAATGGGGGGTAGGGGGAGTAACTATGACTCCTTAAGGTAGCCAAATGCCTCATCATCTAATTAGTGATGCTCATGAATGGATGAACAAGATTCCCATTGTCCCTACCTACTATCCAGTGAAACCACAGCCAAGGGACCAGGCTTGAAAGAATCAGCGGGGAAAGGAGACCTTGTTGAGCTTGACTCTAGTCTGGCACAGTGAAGAGACATGAGAGGTGTAGAATAAGTGGGAGGCCCCTGGCAACCCTTGGTCCCCACGAGGGGGTGGGGTGGGGTCTATCAGCCTTGCAATTAAAAAATGGGCAGAGAAGCTAAATAGACACTTCTCCAAACAGGACATACAAATGCTAAGAGACATATGAAGAAATGCTCAACATCGCTAATTATCAGAGAGATGCAAATTAAAACAACAATGAGGTATCACCTCACACCTGTCAGAATGGCCGCCATCAACAAATCATCAAACAACAAGTGTTGGCGAGGGTGTGGAGAAAAGGGGACTCTTGTACACTGCTGGTGGGAATGCAGACTGGTGCAGCCACTATGAAAAACACTATGGTGTTACCTCAAAAAATTAAAAACTGAATTGCCATTTGATCCAGTGATCCCACTTCTAGGAATATACCCTAAGAAACCTGAAACACCAATCAGAAAGAATATATGTACCCCCTTGTTCATAGCAGCATTATTTACAATAACTAAGACTGGAAACAGCCCAAGTGTCCATCAGTAGAGGAATGGATAAAAAGCTGTGGTACATATACACAATGGAGTACTATGCAGCTGTAAGAAAGAAAGATCTCTTATCCCTTGAGACGACATGGAGAGACCTGCAGAGTATTATCCTAAGTGAAACAAGCCAAGCAGAGAAAGACAAATATCACATGATCTCACTTATTTGTGGAATATGATGATCATAACAGTCTGAGGAACAGGGTAGACCCAGAGATGTGGAAGTAAGGTACAGCCAGACAACCCTCAGAAGAGGGAGTGGTGGGTGGAGGGAAGAGATAAACCACAGAACTTATGTGCATGTACGCATAACCAATGGACATGGACAACAAAGCTGGGGACAGGTTGTGGGGGATGGGGAGGAGGGTGTCAATGGGAAAAAAAAGAATAAACATCTGTAACAAAAATAAATTAATAAAAAAAGAGAAAAAAACCAAAAGTCAGTCATAATGAAACACTCAGGAGCCTGAGGACCTGGTGTGTTCAGGAAATGAACTAGATTGAGTTGAGTTTTGTTACATGTAGAGAAAGAGCCCAAGTGCTTTGTACAGAGACAAATAATAAATTGGGTCTTTCTTAAGCCAGGGGGATTTTACAGAGGAAGGCTCCCTATGGAAAATTCCCGAAATTCAAATAGGGTATAGCGGAGGGGGTTCCATGTATCTGTTGTCCATTCTGTAGGCTCCCAAGGGGAGAGGATAGGTCAGCAGGGGTAGTCTACGTAGAAACATGAAAAATGCAAGCATAAACCATGAAAAAAAAAAGAAAGTGGCCACAGCTAAAGAAAACAAACCCAAATCCAAACCTAAACTGAAAACCCAAACTGCAAAAGGGTTGTGGGAAAGAATTTTACTAACTCTTGAAAACAGAAGAGCCAACACTGGACTTCAGGCTGTGAGCATTCTGTCTGATTAATTAAGGTCAAGGTGGTGATGAAAAGACCAGCTGGGGAGCATTTTGCGGAAAGATAAATTTGTCCCTCTGTATCTGTGCAAGACAGCAGGGAGGTGTGTGTGGGGGGCTAAATTAATTTGATTTACATCATGCCGGTATCTGCTGTTCTCTCTCCCTGCTGTCAGTTATTTTCGCTGGCTTTTTCCCTCTCTCCTTCACCCCCACACATTTCATAACACGGAGAGAAAGCATGGATTAGCTTCGGGCAGAATTTAGAAATGGAATAACTCTAATGTGATTATTCTGCACTGAGCCAGTGCTGTTCTCTCTCTCACCTTCGTTCTTGAGGGAGAGAAGTTGTAAACCCAAGCATAAGTGCGATGTGTTTTTATATTGTGCTTAATGGCACGAGCTGCTTGACAATCAGAACTTGCTCCTGAGAGCAAAACCTGGCAGCTCACCTGTCCCGTGTTTCAACAATACTAATACTAGAAAACGAAGCTGCGGCCTAGGATCCCTCCCGTTAGGAATGCGCTTTTTCTGGCCGTAGAGCTTTCAGCTCCGCCAGGTTCGGGTGGCCGGGATGGAGGAAGCCTCCTCAGGTGCCCCCGAAGTGAGGCCGGGCTCGCAGTCTTGCCCAGCTGAGCCCCTGCACCCCTGGGACCCCGCCTGGCCCTCCACGCCTCGCCCCTTGCAGCGGCCCGGCGCGCTCGGTTGGGCAGGATAAGGTTACGCCGAGGCTTCCTTGGACCGGAGGAAGGGAGGCGGGTCCGAGCCTTCGCCCCGGCCGGCGGGGGTGTTCCCACTGTTGGCAGCTCGGGACCGCGGGGCCACATCCCTGCTGCCGGCCGGGCGCCGCGCGAGGGCCGCTGAACGCAGCCCCGGGGTGCCCCCGGTCATGGGGAGGGAGCGGCCGCCCGGGAGGGGCTGCAGCTCCCTGAGCCGGTGTCTGCTGGGCGCCGCGCTGCTGCTCGGCCTGCGGCTCTGCGCGGAGCTGCGGCGCGCCGGATCCCCGTCCCCAGCCCGCGGCGCCCCGCCGGCCCCCCGGCCGCCCGCGCCGCACCTGCCGCCCGCGCCTGGCCCGCCGCGCGGCGCCAGCAGGAGGCAGGTGACCTACGTGCGCAGTGGGCGCCGAGCACCGCCGGGGGGCGGCGGGAGCGGGACGCCGGAGCCGGGCTGCTGCGCCCCGCGCGGGCGCCCCCGCCGGAAGGTCAGTTGCGAACCGTGCAGTCTTGGGCCCTAGACCCGAATCCCCCTTCTCCACCGCGCAGCGGGCCCTCCGCTCCGGGCGTCGCCGGCCGCCCCACCGGGACCTTCCTAAAGTCTTAACCCTGAGCTCTCTTAGGCGGCTCCGCCGGGGCATCCTTCAGCTTACCGAAGTGGGACTGCGCCGAGTTCATTCCATACTCGACCACGATTTGCCGAGCGGCCGCTGCAGCAGCCCCGCGGCCATGCGGGCACGCGGCGCGAAGGACAAAGCCCTGCCCTCACCGGGCTTACACTTGAGCGCGGGGAGGGAAGGGTGATGGGCACTGAAAGGAAAGGAATTTTGTTTCTACTCTGTACCTTCCCCAGTTTTCTCCTTGAGGCCTGGACAAAGCTGGGTAGGTTCCACTGTGAATAGCTTTTCTGCCACCTTCACCACGGTGAAGAAGGTCCACTCTCCCGCCGAATTTCCCTGGAATCACACCGCAGACGGCAAGGTGGCTGGTGCGGGGTGAGAAGTTGAGCCCCAGCACCACTTAATGGGGAGTTAATTGGAACCTGGAGGACTAAAGTAATAACTTGGGTTTGTCTTACAACACTGAATAGTGTTGCTCTTCCTACCTCATTAACTTCTTGGCTCAGGCCTCACTAAGTAGTCCAGTTTTAACCTCAGGTTTTTAAGCCTCTGGCCTCCCACCTTCCGTTTAGAACTCAGTAATTTACTTGGTACTTGGGAATGAAAAGATTGAGAACTACTGGTCCGAGCTTGCCTGGTCCTTATACCCATCAACCCCAACTAAGTCCTCTTTGCTGCCTGGCTTTCTCTTTTTTCTTTTAAACATCCCTCTCCTCCCTCCTCACCTCCCCTTCTCTGGGGGAAGAAGAAAAAGTCTTTCATTGAGTCTTCTTTAGCTTCTTAGTACTAACCTACTTTTTGATATCACACCCCCATCCCCATTATTTCTTCTATTGCTTTCCTTTCCTCCACCTCCTTTTCAAGAATTGCCCTCTGTCTTTCCATACTATTGTGTTATCTTCCTGAATAAGAGCAAATACTTTTTTCTATTGCCCAGACCTCACTTCCTATGTCAAGTCTTAACTTGGTCTTCCAGAAGAATGCAGTCACTTTCTTCTCCGTGCTCCTAATGCACATTTCATGAACCATGTTATGCATCCAACATGCTTCTGCCACAGGCTTACCAGGGTCCAGATGCTGCATCAGGTGCTGGGGCTACAGAATTAGTTCAAAGTCGCCCTGGCCGCTTTGGCTCAGCGGTTGGAGCGTCGGCCTGCGGTCCAGAGAGACCCGGGTTCGGTTCCCGCTAAGGGCATGTACCTCGGTTGCAGTTTGTCCCCGGCCCTAGTTGGTCATGCGGGTGGCAGCCACTCGATGTGTCCCTTCACATCGATGTTTCTCTCTCTCTCTTCCTCTCTCTCCCTCCCGCTCTATCTGAACAAAAAATGAAAAAATGTCCTCGGGTGAGGATAAAACAAACAAACAAAAAAACAGAATTAGTTCAAAGTCTAGTTGGGGAGGTGTTTAGAACAGGCCTCCAGTGATGTGACCAAGGTTATAATTAAGGTCTTGAACTCTACCTGTGGAGTCAAAAAGGCTAACTGAGAGGAAATATTTAACCTAGGATTTGATATTTCTTAAGATTCAGGTTTCTTTGTCCCTCTAGATGTTCTCAAATGTCCCATCCTTTTTATAAAATCCTCACCAAAAGATATTTTTCCATTGAGTTTTTTAAAAGATAGAGTGGGAGGGAATAAGGGGGAGGGAGGGAGAGAGAGAGAGAGAGAGAGAGAGAGAGAGAGAGAGAGAGAAACATCGATGTGAGAGAGACACATGATTGCAATTGGTTGCCTTCTATACAACTCCAATGAGGGCCAGGGATTGAACCTGCAACTGAGGTGTGTGCCCTTGACCGGGAATGGAACCCGAGACTGTTAGGTCTAAGGGCTGACACTCTAATGGCTGAGCCAAACTGACCAGGGCCAAATGTTCCATCCTTGATACCCTCAACCCCACCCTGCACTCTTCCTTTCACATCTGCTCTTAGCCTCCATTGTTTCTGTTGTCACCTGTCCAAGAATCACTCCTAGTCTCTGCTTCAGACAACAGTGTCTATAACTGGAGCCTGTCCAACAAATGGAAAAGTTTGGAATGCACAGACTCAGGGGGTTGCTGGAGGGGAAGTTCACATCCACTACCTTTAGGAGCCTGCAGTGATCCAGGCTGGACATGGTAGTGGCTCAGAGACCGTGGTAGAAGTGCAGATTTGAGAAGGTGTTGATTCTGGAGATATTCTGAAGGTAGATGAGGGAGGAGTGGTTTTCTGTTGTCATTGTTGTTTAGTGCTTATGTTTTGGAGGGAATGGATGGAAATCAAGAGTTTGGTTTTAAATATGTTGAGTTTGAGATATCAGTTAGACATCCAAGTAGATATGTCAAACATGCAAATGGATATACACATCTGGAATTGGAGGAAATGTCCAGGCTGAAGATAGAGATGTGGGTGTCATCAGTGTACAGTGTCATGAAAGCCATGAAACTGGAGAGATCAACCAGGGAGGGGAAGGGGAGGCTAACAAAGACGAGAGATTTGAGTCTGAACCCTGGGGCTCGGTTTTATTAAAATTAAATTAGAAAATATAAAAGGAAACATCTGTATAGAGTTTGGGGTGTTGTAAGCACTCAATAATGGTAGCTTAATTTTCACTATTCAGTCCCAAGTCTTTAGCCTCAGCCATTCCCCAAATGTAATCTGTTGTTATAACCTATTTCCTTTCCATCCTTGAACATTCAGGTCAAGGATGTTGCCTGGAAACCTTCCCATTTCCATCCTCCTTTTATGCCGATCTTCCCCCAATTTGAGATGACAACAGAAATACATTTCCAATTTATGAGTTGCTTTGCACATGCTGTGACCTGGTAATCTATTTTATATTGAATGTTTTGTCTCCAGAGTTGTTCTTGATGGAAAGGATAGTGTTTCCCAAAGTGATGCCTCATAAATGCTTACTCCTGAGACACCAATGTGTAAACAATAGAAGGATCTATTTCAACCTATTATGCATAACTCTAAATGTCTTTGGTCAAAAAAATACAAGAAAGAAGTTTATTGCTTTTTTAAAAATATTAAGTTTTTAGCCTCCTAAGGAAAATTTTCCCCTGGATTTCTCTCCCCCTAGCTCTTTAGTTATTTTTTTTACTTATTTTCAGGGTATATAGTCTAAATTTCCAAAATTTCTAGATAGTGGGAATCTTCAATTTGTTCATTTATTGCATTTTTTAAAAGTTGGATTAAAGTGTTTCTCCAAACTGGAAAGACCAATTATCAGATTTACTCTCCCACTTCTGGGAACAGAGCTCAATATCACTTATCTTCCTGGGGGTCGAATCTTGTTTCTTCTTCACCTTCCAAGTGCTAAAATACAAGCTGAATGCACCATTAAATAATGGATATAGTTAATGTTTGGAAGTTATGTGTTAAACTCCTTGAATCTTATTTTGCTTAACGTTTGTCTGTTGAGAATGTTATGAACAATGTTATTTAGGTTCTTGGGTACTTGCCATAGGCACCTACCAGATTGGTTGGTGAAGGAGAAAAAGTTCCATCTATTTTGAGGATGGCTTTCTGGATGGATGAAAACCTGCCTGAAAAAATTGGTTTGCTGAGTGTTTCTTGTCAATGTGCTTCCTTTGTTAGAGGAACAAAAATTCGGCGATTAGATCGCCACTTTGATAATAGCTTATGCTTCTCTTAAAGAAAATAATTGTTATAAAAATGAGAAGTGAAATGTAGTCCTCATGTAATTCTTTTCCTCTTTCCTCATCCCTTCTTTCACCAAGCCATGCAAGAGCTAGCTTTAAATATTAAATCCTCGTTCACATCAGGGGTTCTAATCTTGGAATATTGTGAATTGAGGGCTCATGATACATGACGGATAAATACTGCCCGTTTTGATTAGGACTAGCCTGGAACCCATACATTTTTGTATGTTACAGAGGCTTTAAGCATTCCATTAGAGCCTCTGGCCTCCTAATTCTGCATGTTATGCATGCATCAAAGTATCACTGTAATTATTCTTCTTTCCTTTCCCTTCTCTTTGTTTTCTGTGTTTCCTTATGATTTTTTACTTAAACAGACATTTACTATGATTACATGGATAAAGTTCTTTTGGGGGGCATTTATAGAGGACTAAAATGGTTCTCCATGATTTATGCGTCTTTATGCAGTCTTGGGTAGATGTTTCCCTTACAGGTTAGCGATCCACCTAAATGACAGCAGCAAAATATATGGCTCATTTGCACAGGGGAGGCACTCATACCCGAGCCAAGCTTCCTGCAGAAAATTCTTCTCTCTTATCTGAGATATTTTCCTTGACATTTAATATGTTGGATAGAAAAGTAACTTCTGAGTCACAGAGCCACAGAACCCAGCAATGTGCTGGCTTGGTTTGTTAGTCACAGATCCTTTGGAACCGTGTGTCAGAAAGAAAAAAATGTTTCCTCTTCTCCTGAAAAACCATATGTCAAAATTGGGTCTTTCTTCACCACTTCTCATCTTCCTCTTAGTTTTCCAATTCTGAGATTATCATCAGAAAGGAAGAGGAAAAATGGCAGAGTATGCCCCTTGTTATATCCAATTGCCTTAAGAGTCCTTATTCTTTACAAAAAACTTGAAGGTAGGTTTGAATTGCTTGTAAAATATGGCCCAGGAGTAGTTTCCAATAGTTAGGATTTTTCTGTGTACTTACACTTTTGTCCTTCGTGAACAACATTAATCAATCCTCTCACACTGTCCTCAGGAGGCAAAGCCTTTTCATTTTAAACAAAGTCATTGAGGGTAATTGAATGCTCTCCAGCAATATGTGGGTGTGAAATAGCAGTTGCTTAGTTTCACAAAGAGAAATGCAGGTTTTGATTAAAACTTTGATGTGCCTTAGATGGGGAATAAGCCTCTGCACTCCTTCCAAACCCCACAGTTCCTCAGAGAG